ATCGCCGCTGCTGCTGCCGCCGCTATTGTTTCTCTGATGCGCAACGATATATGGCATATGTAATGTGTGTGCCGACTGTTCACCACTGCAGTAGCGGCAGCTGGAGCTTATAACTGTGTACAACGGTTGTTTGGATACGTACTGGTTTCGCTAAAGTTGGTTGCACGCGGGGAGAGGGCTGATGATGGTGATTTATGTTGCTACAATGCGGGCCGGAAGTATGGATCTAAAGACATCTTGAGGTATCGAGTGGGGGAGTGACGACAGAAATCCTGTATAATAGCAGCCTTGGCGTCGCTGGTCCGATACGGTACATTTTTTAATACGAAGTACATTCTTAGCTGGTAGTTCCTTACGAACGTTAGCGGTAAAGAGTGATCTGTATAAATTGAAACGTTAATCGGGCCGACATGCTGTGCGGGCGCGGAAAAGACACCTTTACAAGACGAGGCATTGGTATACGAAGGAGGGCAGTAAGCGGATGGGAGCAGTAACTCAAGGTTAAACGACCACCGCGTATGTCACGGAGAAAGGTAGACAAGGGTGAAGCACGTATGTGTTGATAGTGGTGCTTCATTGAATCCCTCGTTTCGTTTAATTCAGCATAATTTCTGTTAGCACCTCCTCATCCTCATCTCAGGCTGCGGTCAGTAAGTTTTGGGACTCGCGTTCGACTTGGGGCCCACGCTTCAATGCTTCTGCTGCTGCTACTGCCGCTGCCACTGCTTAAAGTAAGCTGAGTTAAGCTAGAAGGCGGACTCGGTGCCCACGTATGTGTACTTGTTTGCTTAAAGCAGTATTGCGCAAACGGCGTCGTTCGCAAAAATCGACGTTACTCACAGGGCCTATTCTAGCTGCGTCGTTTACTTTGTCGACTGCAAAAAGCTTGTAATGGCTTCTCCGAGTCCGGATCTCGGATTTACAAGCAGTGGAATAACCCTACAAATAATTGCGTATATCTCCAACTATTACCGTTTAGCTTTGTTTTAGCTCTTACAACAACTATCGCTACTAGTACCAGTGACGGTGTGTAGCTTTTCCTGTTTAGAATAACAACAAATACAACGACTAGACTGTACATAGCCTACTACTAGCATAGTCGAGGTGCCAGTACGTACAAAGAAGCAACTGAAGTCTATCCCATCTATGAACTCCTCAAGCAAACTGCACGAAGAAGGCCTCTTCGCTCTGTGACTGCTTTGTGCTGATCAAGTATATAGACGACCGCACGAGATGGACGACGTGGAGAAGGGATCGTATTGTTGGGAAAAAGGAGCTTAGCAGCGCTCAGCGGTGAGACGGCGACCGAGTTCTACTTTCGTTGTCTTTTGCCTGCTTAAACCCAGCCTTGTCTGACTCGCTCGCTGGTAATGAAACTTGCTTGGCTTAAAAATACCTTCAGCATAGCAGGTTTTCATTAGTGGGTGTCGCTCTATAGTAGAAGCAACACCAGCGATAGAAATACTGTATCACCTATTGTTACTATAATATAACCTTATAGTAATAGCTAACCCCATGTGGAGCGTCTATAGTATGTCATACATATTTGCATATTCTGATCGGATACCAACCTTAAATAGTATTCGGCTCTAAAGATTTTTTATTGTCCATCAAACAACTGAAAACCATTTTTCTACTACATGTTTGACATGAAGACCACGGACTGATGACACAGCGCTGTCTTTTCCATCGTCCGTTTGTAAGACAGAGGCTCGGAGAGCCGAGCGAAACAACGAGGTTGGTGATTGGTCACGTGACGGTAGGAACCAGTAACCGATGATCCCCGCCGTCGTGCTCGTACAGCGCCTATGCTCACATACGTCGATGCTTTTTGCACTATCCACAGAGTCCCTTTAGCGTAGGTGACCAAGAGCGTTTCGCTGTGACGCTAGCTAACTAGTGTATCTAACATAGCGGCTACCACCGATCTAACAGCGACGACTAAAGCTTCCTTCCAGCCGGCGCAAAATGAATGGACTAGGGCGCAAAAGAGAGTATATGGCTGAAAGACGCCCTTCGAACTATTCGTCCGGATCGTTTTTTTACAAAAAACACCTGGAAATGATGCCCTAAGGACTAAGGAACTCTCTACTACACGAATGGAGTGAGCATATGCACATTCAAATACCTCCACAGGCCACAGCATTAGTTCTGAAACGCGAGATGTGACGCGGGACGAACACAAACAGAAGGACGCAACGGGGGCAAGGTGATGGGTCTGGCCATCGAATAAACGAGAAGCGATGTGATACGGACACCCTTTGTCTTTCGTGACATAAAACAAGGGTGGCTATTACTGTACATTGCTAATATATGCGTTAGTCGCCGCCAACCGACACTCATCGACGTGTCGAGAAGTCCTTTGGTGGCATCGATGTTGCTGCTTAGCGTCCCCAAAGCACAAATTTTGATATCTACAACTACAGGTTGTATATATAAACGAACACATGGGAATACGACAGAGACCTTCCGCACCTTCTATAGTATTCTCTGCACCTTCAGTCTATGCTGGCTCTAACGATTCCTAACTTAATAAGTTATCCATGACCTTGTCGCGTCTGGCCAGCGAAACTAGTAGCGCTCGATACTGAACTGAATTCTGTTCGTTCGTTGCCGTTGTTGATTTCAATACAAACATACACAAGCATGCCTTATATTGTAAATAGATATATTTTTATATATTTATTGCATACATATATATGCGTCTTATCGACTATATCTTAGGCATGAGCAGAGGAGTAGGGCACTTGTCTGAATATTCGTTCGCTCTTGTAATTCGGTATTTATTGACCAACTTTTCGATAGTTTACTATTATAATACTACTATAATACTGATTCGGCTTGAGGAAAATCCAAAAAGTTGTTTAGATGTGCCACAGAGAAACCAAAGATAGAGCAAAGATGACAAGCCATGAGCGGTAAAATCGAGAGCGAATAAGAAAGCGGTCGGTCCGTTGTACGGAAAGAAGCAATATTGAACAAAAGGTACACCGAGGACAGGGAGATGCGCCTCGCAGAGCGAATGGGCATATAGCTGGCCGGCCTGCTTGCCTGGCAGGACCATTGCTGGGCGAATGCGTGAAGAACGGATTGCGTCCTTCACACGTCCGAAAGGGCGAATACAAGTGGAAGGAGAAAAAGCTAGCGATAAATAGAAAACAACCTATGATCACAGAATGAACCTACTATTTTTTTGCTTTCTTAACCTTCTACTAGCGATGCTGTCGTTGTTATTTTACTTTCCACTCGCGTAGGAAATGACCCGATTCGACGGTCAGAGGTGTATATATGTACGCAGTGAAGAAGTGGCATATGAATATCGTCATAGAGTCGCGTCATAGATGCACACACGCATGCATTATGCAACAGAAAGAGACGGAAAGGCTGACAGTGATGCCACTGTAAAGCATGGCCGCGCGGCGTGGATGGTCAATTGTGGCTGCTTCTATAGAAGCTGTCGGATACACTCCCACGCACTTCTGCTATTGTGAAGTTACTTATCACCTCTAGTTACTGTGTCCTTCTTACTACTGTTTCTCTTGGCCGTAGGAGCGGCACCAGTGGTGTATGTTTTTTGAATTGATTCACGCTTATTTCATGCATGCAATACATGAACCTGTTCGTCTGACACAATGTCTGTCACTTCCTTTTGAATTTGTTATACGTTACATATTTATACCTTACGTAACCGAACTTCTGGGCACCGATTGTGAAGAACGTAGGAATATTGATCTCTAGTAATTCAGGCTTTTTTATAGCAAGTGTATGTTCGCGCTGCAATGATTTCATTGTCATTGACCTCCAGCGTTGTAGCGGCAGAATTCTAGATTTGACCATAAAACACTTATAGGAGTCTGTAACCTTCTACAAAATAAGTAGCGCGTAATTCTTAGTGGAACGGAGGCTGCTACCTTTAAGAAACAACTTTAGATCTCTAGCATTTATGGAAATTATTTTCAGACGAAAATGCGTTGTTAAGGTACACGAAAATCCTTATGACAGTGATTTGTGGGAAGCACTGTTTTATACTGTGTTATTATATAGGTATTCAGCAAATCGAGGTATGGGAAAAGGAAGGGAACGCCATTGGCAGCGTTTGCGGCCGATAGTTCGTGGGCGATTGATTCACTCGACCGTCGAAATTGCAGGATTCACGGACTTCAGGGGGAGAAGAGGCAGGTGGACCAAACATGGGGTGCAAGAAATAGGCAAGCAGAGCCCAGAAAGGGACGACTGAATCAAAGAAGAATTTAGGGAGTGACGCATCTTGGCTGCTCATGCGAGTCCACAGGTATTTCGCTGGCCGACGCCTACGAACATATTATCTTTTTAGAACTTCCTTCTCTCAAGTCTCAGCATAGTATAGTACGAACACAGAGCTCCTATCGAGAATTCATTGGGTAATAGGAAGGAAGGCAGACAAGAAAGAGAGCGTAGGTGGGCTGGCGATTCCATCAGCTTTGACTCCGCAGCTGTGGTAGGAACAGCGGCCTCCGGCTTCGGTGGCTGCGCTTCCGTTTCACTGCAGTAAGTGTCCGATGGGGCAAGAAGGTTTGAATTTGCTGCTCAGACGCTGGCTGACGTTTAGCTTACTGGTCACCCAGTAGCAACAGCAGCAGCACACTAGCCGACGCCAGGTTGCTAATCAACTTAGAAATAGCAAACTGAGGTTGAGTTTTTAAGGCTTTGGAACAAACAGCGCAGTTAAAGTTGACGCCAGCTGCTAAAATTCAACCCATTAATTACTGCGACTAGATGGTGTAAGTGAGTAAAATATACCGATAACAGAGTAAGTAGACGGACCGCTCTAGGGAACGATGGTTGGATTACGCAGCCAGCTGGGGTGTCCAATTGATTGACGGTTTAGCTATTTACCTCATAATAGGTGCTTACCTTACTCTTGGCCCCATCTGTGCCACCACTTTTAAATACTTAAGGCTTACATTCATTTACGTGCTTCGAAGGAAAGGCTACAAATTAACGCGCGTTTCCTCTTCCAGGCAAAGGGCGGTATCGTTGAGTCATGATCGTTTAAGGTAAGCCAGTGTTACAAGCGCTACTACTTTAGCTTTTAATTTTTTTGTCTTTACATCACATTATTAGCTTATTAAGAAAAAAAAGCAAATGGGCCTTTTGCCACCTGCCAAGCATAAATATGTGTCTACTTTTTTTATTAAATTATTATAGCATTCAGGTGGAACTTCGTACTTATAAATACTTAATAGAGATAATAATCTGCATTTTTTAGTAAAGTGCCTATTACTGAAGTCTATATTATGTGGATATTTTTTTAAGGGACTGATGGAAGCGGTAATGAATAGATTTGTGAATTTGAGATTAAATGTTTTTACGTCGTACAAAATTGTACCTACAAGGAGTATTGGATCTTGATTGCGTATGAGTGACGCAATAATTGTCATCAGCTTCTTAAAGAGAGCTAATTTCGCATAGCTTCAGAGCCCAAACGCGGTATAGAACTTGTTGTTACTTAGGCCATGACTGAAACGGTTGCAGTATCGGTTGTCGGAGCTCTTATTGGCCAGTATTATCTGTGGTAGTTATGGGTGGCCGACGAAAAAAAACTTTGCGGCACAATCTTTATAACGTGTCACATCGCGTTTTCCGATTGTGTCAGCCAGTAAACACGCGCACATAAAACAGTGCACTCGCTTCTTCGGCCTTTGCTTTAGCACCGCCCCTTTCTCGTATGCCTTAGCTCTCATGTCTCCGCAAAGTTGTGTTCCTCGTGTGCGTTATAGCCGCGTCTGTTGTATTGTAACTGGCGATAGAAGAAAAAGGGACCCAAAAACCGCTGTTCCAGGAAGAAAGTGAAAGCAAATAGAAGATTCGGCGGTTTTGTCCGACTTTGAAAAAAAATTGGAAGAAGAAAACGAACGCTCAAACTAGCAGGTCGACCGCCTTAGACGGCCGACATGCCCAGCGACCGCTGCAGAATGTGCTGGTCGAAAGACGTCAGACAAATTGGACTTGCTTGGGCCGTCCGGACAACAGACGCACTGCGTAACAGCCCTAGAAAGCAAGCTTGCAATCCTGTCTGTGTGGCGACATAACTCATGAGACTTTTCTTTTTTTCTGCTGCGGGGCTACACCTAGCGCCGAGGCTGTGCAGCCGCCGCTGGCTGTACGTCGTCGCCTTCCAAGTTGAATCTCGTGGGTTGCTGTTGCTGCATTGGCTACTACCTTTTTCTGCAGAAACCGCTTTGGCAGGAACCAATTAGAGCTTCAGCATCTCCTGTCTGTTTTTGAACTCTACCCAACGCTGTTAGAAGAAAACGAAAAGTAATACACTACAACTCGAATGGGTGCAGTACTCCTACGGTATCCTCACACGACCTGCAGCCTCAGTTCGTTTTCGTGCGAAGCGAGCCCAAAACGAGGATGACACGAAAACACGAAGTCGGATGTGGAAGAGCCCTTCAGCACGGTGGGTCCTCCGGTAGTGATGGCTGTTTCAGAAGAAAAAGGAAGTACCGCATTTGCGCTGGGGCCAAGACCTGTTCCCTCCTTCTTGTGGTGTACGCGCAGTGGCATATACGGACACGCAACGAACGAGCTCGCTAGCGGCCTCTTGAGAGCAACGCACTTCCACCCGTACTTATTTGCAACCAGTAGGTTCTTACACATTGGTAAACCCGGATATACTGTGGAGCGGTTCTCGGATACGACCCTGTTCGATGTGTTAAGGAGTGTGCACCCGTGCTGCTCGTTCTGCGGCCGTTGGGAAACGGCGACGACAAAGGGAAGGTTGAAAATGGGCCAACCCGTTTGAAGTAGAATTGATGCCGCTATCTACGTATTCATGTTGCAGCCATTCTGCTCTGCCAACAGGGCGCCCCGCTTCAATTCTCTGGGCCCGGTTAGTTCTTTTACGTGCTAGCGTCGTTGTGACTTGAAAAAAATGCCCCTAATAATTCGTCTCGCCGAGTTGCGCTGCCACTATCTAGTTAATATGTCTCTTGTAACCGGGGCATTTGAGAAGTATCGACGATAGAACGTGTCTGTATTTCGCCATCCGTAGGACAGGGTTCTGCATCGAAGAATATGTCATCCCACGCAGCTTCATTCACATAGGTACGCTGCCAAAATGCAGCGTCGCCTCAAAATCTGCCCATTCAACCGTTCACCTTTGCGAAAACTTCTGTAACACAAGAGTATTTCATAGTGCTAGGCTTTATATTTATCTTTTTAAGGGCAGTGTGGGTACCTACTTCAACAAATGTCCTAGGGAGAGAAATCGGCCATAGCTCATAGAGTTTATGAATTATTGGTTTCCCGAGATTGTGTAACTGTAACTGCTACAGAAGGCAGTCACTCGATATATATATATATATATATATATACAGAGATTTGAAAATTCATACGCATCAGTAAAGTTGGAATAAAAGCTAGAAAACGAGCAGCAACATGGTTGGTTATCTAGATCAAACAGTTGCGACTAGTCACAGATAATTCATACGTGAAATTGCAGCTCGTATGTTTTGATTTTTGCATCCGTGTTTGTCATTACTTCAAACGAGCAGCCGAAATTTACCAGTTTCGAATCTAAATCACCGTTTCCCTAAAATTAGCAGGCAAACACGTTATTATTGAACCACCACAGAGATATATATAATAGTTACTCGCGCGAGCATATTCGCTGAAAGGCGCGGGTGATTTTATTTCAATCACTGGCCCTTCCCGAGTGAGGAAGAAAGTAAAGGTTATTTGCTTCCAAGCGCTGACTAGCTTGAATAATTGAAATCTTCCAATGCGTGGCTTTAAAAACACAAATAGTTGTCATGTAGTTAAAATTAAACATAATAAATCTTTTAAATAATTTTTCTATATTTCTAAATATTAGAAATGGTGATATCCGTAGAATGAAGTGTTACTTCTACTTCAATGCCTGCATCAGTCACCCCCAACGAGCCTTTAAATTACAGCGCAAAGCCAAAATTGTGTTTACAACTATTTTACAGTTCAGCTTTCCGGAATTATTCTCACTAGGTATTTTATTCAGAATACACACGGCCAGATGTATTGTGTACGTACGTGGTCTTCAAAAATGCACGTTCACATTATAGCTATATGGTGGTGGCCCTGAATTGCAGATACAGACGTTTTACAACTGGCAAGCAATTCTTGTATCATCGTCACACTTGTGGCTTTATAACGCCGCACACTACAAACGCGCGATTCCGCTGATGCCCGTCTGTTGTTGTTGTTAAGGAAAGTTGTTAATGGGTTGGTCGGCTGGGGGCTTGGTAGGTGAGTGAGTGGGTCGCTAATTGGTTGAATAAGTCAGTCCGGGGTCAGTTAGGTGCTTGTGCTCCCGTATGCGTCTCTCAGTGTCTTAATGTGGCCTGTGTCTCTCGTTCCACAACGTTCAAGGACGACCACGAGCATCTGTATCGGGGGAACGTGCGTGGAGCCAGACGGCTGGGCCACGAAAGGCCAAGTCGTCTATAATACATGGTAGGTTAGCCAGCTTATGTCGAACGACATGCGAGCCAATGATATGCAAGTAGTAAGCATGCGTGGAGTTTAAGCGAATGTCTTGTGCAGGAACTGTGGCTGCCATTGCCATGACTGCCACCGCTGTTACCGTAGGTCTTTTATACAGATACAAGACAGAAAAGTGGCGACCCCTAGTCTGACCACTGTGCTTATGTTTGTAATAAAGCTCTAGATATAGTTCTGGGCGAGAAAGTCCTGTGTCCCACTGCTCCACCTGCGTCCCTCGCAATGCTACACACCACAACGTGTATCAGCTGCGGGGGCAGCCGGAAGCCAAAACAGAGAACAAGCCTGCATGCGACAATCTGTAGCAGACCATTGGCTACGAAATGGCGGGACTGGAAAGTAAGGGGGCGACAAGGCAAAAAAAAGTAGAATAAAGGAAAGTGTTGGCCGGTCACCGGTTTGGTTCCGATGAAATAACTAACCGCGTATGGCTGAGTACTCTTATGAAGCGAGACCAAACAACCGCGTGAAGGGACAGACATGCACTCGTTCGTCATAGCTACAAAGACGCGAAGGCGATTCCTACACACGAGAGGAATCGCCAGACATGTGCGTGCATGCATATACCATCTACATAGTCATACACGGCAGCTAACTTCCATACAGATCGTTGATAGTACCATCGTGCAAACGCACAGTTGAAAGACCCGCGCATCTTCACGGACTGGCGGATCTAAGTCGGTGTAGACAGGCCGATCATTACGATGGCTGCGGAACGTTGGCAACTAGAGGATTTGGTATGCTATGTAGACCTGCAGAAGCAACAAAGGGTAGCAGAAATGGGATCAGTTACGGCTATCATCTAAGTGAAAAGCGTGTCTGTACTATAGCTATTCTCTATTTAGGCAGAGTTTGGTGTTTGTATCAATCCTTGTATGCGTTTTCCAATCCAGGTGTTTATCAAAGCTAGCTTCTTGTAAAAATACTATGCCGGCACCAAATAGGCACAGGATTGAAAAAACTACACACACCGAGCGACTTTGTCGGAATCCCGTCAAATTTAGGTGTGCTCGAGGTGGCACACCATAAAGGACCTACTATTATGACATTGCGAATTAATTGACGCAATTAAAGCTGTGCTCCATGCGGCAGTGATAACAGTAGCAGCAGCAGCTTCTGCTGCTACTACAACATTTGTCACTGTTACATTTTCATCCCCGCGATGAACGCAGGCTGTGGATACACGCATTTGGACCATATAACGCACGTCCTGGAGATGTTGCTAGTAAGCGGATGGATTGGTGCGGATGGTGAATGTGCAGGACATCACGATAAGTGAATAAGAAAGCACAGAGATAATATATGCAGAGGAGCAACGAAGATTAAAGTTTGTTTTTCCTGCATAAAATGCCCCCGCGAAAAAAATTTTTTCGCTTGAAGTAGAATGGGGTAGTAGTTGTAATAGCAGCGGGTGATGGTGTAGATGTATGGAGACGCTATGCAAGCCTTTCAAACCGGCCTGTTCTGTCTCTTTTCCTTTGCTTTCGGCCAAGCCTTCAGTCTTATGTTTAAT